AAACATATGGAGATAACGAACAGTATTCAAGTTCAAAATCCATGGAAATTCCCGAACAAAAATATAATGGATATACATGTAATAAGCTCCATATGTATTTGGCGATTGATATATCATCAACATTTGCATCTTACAAGCTCATAAATATCTCAATGTCAAAAAGAGCTTCAAGTTGGATGAAATCAGGTGGTCCCTTCATGAAGATTAAAATTTTTCTATTCTCTTTTTATTTTATTTTTATAATAATACGTTTAGAGTAGTTGTCATTAAAAAAAGGAATAACTTACGAATTCACTAACAAAACTGGATCCCGGCCAATCGCAAGGTTAATGTGATAAATAAACAATGAGTGAAAAAGTAACAAAATAATGATAAAAAATGCCTAAAAGTCTTTCATACATGTTGTTAAGAGAAATTAATCCATACAACAGGAAAATCAATGCCACACATCCTGCCACACATCCTGCAAACGGTGCATTTTTATTCAAACAAGTCTCCCCTACTCTCAAAAATAAGGTTTCAACTGCTTCTTTATATTTTAAAAGGTATTGAAAACCCTTCATTCACCGACATGATTTTAAGCTGATGAAATATAAAAGTTCTTTGTCTGTCTATTGAAAAAAATCTAATATTCCGGTGCAAATTATTTATCGATAAACTGACCTTAAGTTAAATGCAGGGCGTAGGTTTGCAAAGAGCGAAGGTAATGTGGTTACCTTGACTTTGTCGCATTCCCTTTATTAATCCACAAAAAGAGTTTTGTAACTGAAGACAGAAATGTTATTTTTTTTCATTTAAAAATTTTATCACTACTATGATTAAACACAACTTCAAAGAAAATGAGGTCAACAGATTCACCTATCTTGGTAGTGTCTTCAACAAAAACCGTGGTGGAGATGACAATGTCAAAAGCCGAATTAAAAAGAAAAGATAATGCTTTAACTTTTCTATCGTCAACTTCTTTTACTTATGCAGCAATATATCTTCATCACCTGTATCCAGAGTTGGTACACGCAATTCGATACGCAAGAACATGCTCTAAGTATGAACAATTTCTAAAACGACGTAAATTATTGACAAACAAGTTGATGAAACAAAAATATAAGCAGTCTCTTTCGAAGTCATCATTTCGTAAGTTCTATGGTCAATACAACGACCTTGTCAACAAATTCAATTTTTCATTGAGTCAAATGCGTACTGACATTTTTCATACAAATTGTTAGTCCATTATTAACCGGTATACACTGAATATACGACAGATTTTTCGGTTATTTTCCGATAATGACAAGGAACACACGGCGGCTGTGACAATTCGGCAGGGGGTGTTCACTCCTCAATGGCACCTGATCCCACCTCTAATGTTTTGGAGGTCCATGTTAGCTCTGCTCCTATTTTGTATTGTTTTATGGATTTTTGATCTTGAATACCGTTCGTAATCTCCATATGTTTCCTGATAAGATATTACATTTCATAAAGATGGCTTGGCGAAAAGAAGCACTTCGCAAGGACTTTTTACCTTAATTTAAATTTAGTATATTATTATTAGTTATCTACATCCAATTGACAGGCTGACACAAGTTAATTTACGTTAGATTAAATGTAACGGGATTACAACTCATGTCCCACCCCTTTCTTGTTCCAACGGCCGTGCATTAAGAAATCAATGATAGAAAAGAGTCGTTAAATTACCTTACTCTCTAACATGGAATAATTACCTTGCATTTAAAAAATCAATGAGAAAAGAGATTCATTAAATAACATCTCTTTTAACATGCATTCTAACTTGGGAGAATCACCTTGCATTAAAAAAAATCAATGAAAAAAGAGAGTAATTGAATAACCTTTCTTTCTGACATGAATTCTGACAGTCATGTAAAACGTGAGCAAAAAGTTAGATTTAAATAGAAAATCGTGCTTAAAATTTGCTAGTTTGTTTCCGTTGCAGTGTTAGAATATTATAGTATATTTGAATCACCTGACATAACTATGCTCTCGGGTCCCTTTTTCTATGATAAATTATAATAAATCTACATCCATTCTGGTTATTTTCAAACAAGAGTGAAGGAAAATGACACTTTTTGAATCGTGTCGATAGTTTGTATTGCTTATAATATTTGAAAATAATGCATTGTCTGTGAATAATTGGACCCTATGATATCAAAATTTGGCCTGTTTTGTGACAATATGTTCCTTTATGGATAAAAATGGATAGAATAGACGGGTCTTATTACAATAAAGGAATATGCATGTCCTTGTAATCTACCTTATACTTTATTATTTCGCTGACAGATCTAGAGAGCAATTGTCCAATCTGATGACAAAACATCCTGGTTTACTAAAAGTTAATATTTTATTTCAGGCACGTGGTGTTGGTCATTTTACACATTATTTCTCTTTTTTTTATTTTCAAACTTCAAAAGGTCAACAAAACGGTCTTTTTTGCATGACATTGTACACATGGAACTTCCATGCCTATCGTTTAGGACCAATTAAACAATGAACATGAAATTTGTCTTCACCGATACTAGGGAATACCTGTAGCCATGTGTCCATTAATAGACCTACAAAACTACAAAATTATACAATAAATCAAATATTTGTAATTGTGAGCATTGGAATTCCTATTTAATCTTACAAATGATTATCACCTGCATACGGAGTTTATGTCCTCTGTTGAATTTCTAAACAAAACCTAATTTGCAGAAATACAAAAGGAAACCCAGCCCTAAAGGACAAGATAGGCTAGTCAAGATAGTCTTTTAAAATAATGCATCAGGTGATAAGGGTATATTGCTGCTTAAGTAAGGGAAGGTGACAAATGAAAAGTTAAAGTCAACACGTTTATCACAAAGTTTGGTTGTTAGATTAACACTTACGTGTTTTCTAGTAAAATATCAAAATATGAAATAGGTATGTCAGATTTTATGGTATTTTAAATGTCAAGACCACTGGAATATATCGTGAACATATGAATGGAAATAACTATTGTTAATTGACAATACGTCGTCGATTTACCTCAATGTCAAATTGAAGGCCAGAAGAGTTTTTTCTTTCCTGTTTAAGACTTTGAATAACAAATACATAGGTCTGCTTTAAGCGGTGCGCAATTGGTACCCATGGGAATTTCAGCCGATTGTTGGAAGACTTTGTCTCCAAATACCAGATAAAAATTGTCGATCAAAAAAAGTCAAGTATATCTTAATTATCAGCTTCAGAGTACTTGTATGTAAAATCAAAATGTATATTTAATAGATTTTGCAAATGCCCAATGATTTTTACACATTAAAAAAGTAAAGGACAATATCGACTTAAATAACACCACTTAATGGCCCCGGTCTAGTGTATCTTTCAGAATGATGCAATAGTTTATCAAACAAAGACCTGTTGTTACTCCTGCTATAAAATGAGTATTAGTTCTAAGTTGTGGGATACACAGGGGTCACAGAAAGGTAAAAATATATCAATCTACATTTTTTTTTCATATTAATGCAAATTTTCTTTGATTTTAGAGCACATTTTGCTTCAGAAAACATATAGCCGGTAAAATCATATAAACATTTTGTACTTGTATATATCTGTACATGCAGCAATCAGTCGGAATGTCGGAAATCAAGGAATTGAAAAGTTGAAAATCTAAAAATAATAATAATTCCAGAAATGAAATGCGGCCGCGGGAACGCGGGGAACCACAGTGCTTTTAATTTCCTTATTTAATTTTTGTTCAAAACCTTTTTGATTCATCAGTAATACATGTATTACTTTGTCTATTTGATTTTTTTTCTATCTATCCATCTACCCACGCATACCTTCATAGTCAAACACGCATATAAATTATTGTTAGTGTTTTGATCAAGAATACTTAGAAACGTCAGAAATAGTACTAACCAATCAAATATAATTTAAGTTTAAATATCTACACACCATAATTAAATTCATTTGAAGATCTACATCCATGGAAAATGATTATTAAATACTTATTGCCCTACTCCCCTCGCTGTCAAACAAAAAATCCTCGGACCAGGCATTTCTCTTGAAAAAAGAATGAGGCGCTCTTGGCACATACTAATATTTTTACTAACACTCATTATATTTATGTTGTATACAAAAAGAAAAATAAATAGATTGAATTACAATAGATCGAGTGCCAATGTGTGGTTATAATTATAAATTGTATAGTAATGGGAAAAACTAATATAAGACAAGAGGAATGAAAGTTATGATGATAAAATGATACTAGCATCCCACGTATATTACAAAATTTTCTTTTACATGAAATTTGATTTTTGTGAACACATTCTTCTAGAATTCAACATATCATAAAATGAGATAATTTATTTAGCAAAATTTAACTTATTCACATTTCTTTTAAATAAAAAATCCATATAGGCCGTTGTATTTTTAATTTACACTTGATAATTTTTTCTTACATTTTCATTTTGTATCATAATCATAATTAAAAAATTTTATAGCTTCGATCAAACTTTTAATGTCAATTTTACTTTATTTTGATTTTTTCAGTCTTAATCATCGTTTCATGTTTTATAATATTTTTGACATTTATAATTAGTACGTTCTTAGGAGAAAATCTATTGTTTTAAAAAGTACCCCTTTGGGCACCCCATAAAAGGTTATTGAGAGTTATCCCCTCTGAGTATCCGTATAGTTAGAGTAAACAAAACAGTTTCCTGGTAGTGTGGAAGGCGTGAAAATAACGTTAAATATTATCCACTCTCACTATATGTGGTGTTGTTATTTGAAAGACGCTTTTTAGCGCTAAGGTAAGGAAAATGAATCTACAAAGTTTCTTAGAGAGGAGAACATTTTCTTTCGATCTTTTATTGTAACACATATGCAACCTAATCATCAAACGAGTGAAAAAACTAAAAAAAAAAAATGCTTACATTTGGCTATCTATGCATGTAATATTAACAATTTTTTAATAAATAAGGAGAACTAAAAGCAAATAAATGTGTCATTTTAATTTCAACTTTCTTAGTAGTATAATTGGAATGTAAGTTCATTTATTCAAAAGGCATCCAAGACACAAAAGTTGTGTTCAATTCGTCGTAATTTAAATGTTTATATCCCAATAAAGGAAAGAGAAATGAGCAATATAGGTCAATAATTATCAAGGTTTTTTCCTCCATAGCACGAATCCATCTGTAAGCATTTCCTAGAGCATTTCCTCGATCCGTGCAGTAGTGGCATTTCTTTACTGGTCCGTTCATAATCCTTTTGATGTATTTTTTCGTCGTGTTTGTAAACTCTTTGTTCAAAAAGCTGTATATTTTTGGCACAACTTTGAAGGGGTATTGACATAGGTTTTCATAAATAATACTCATTATCCTGCTTTTATGACACAATTGTAACTCCTTAGTGTGTGACAGATCTGAAATGATAGAATTACACACTTTTTTGACAGTTGTAAACATCCTTTTCTCCTCTGTCACATGTTGTTCAAACTGCGAATTGAGGATACCTCGAGGATCTCTGACTAAGTAAATAATCCTTAGATTCGGAAGCCATTTCAAAAGTTTTCCTGCCATAAACATCGACAGCCTGATGGTTTTTATTGTCCTTGACCGTGCTGTCATACATCTGTTATGCAATAAATAAACACACCTTTTAACGCTATCTATGGTACTTTTGGATTTATTTAAATTCAAAACAGTGCATTTGTAATACTCTTGAAGCTCTGGTGTATGTATTGAAATGAATGGGTCAGTTAAGGCAGACAAGTCAATTTGATCAAAATTACAGGTAAACCAATGATACAGCAGCTCTGGATAGAGAGATTCACGTTCACCTCGTAAAATAACCCTGCAAAGTAAGGATGAAAAAGAAAATAATATCATTACATGAAGTTGTGAATTAGATTTTAATTATTCCTCAAATTAAAAGGAAAAAAAAAACTGTGTTGATTTTTTTTTTATTTTGACGCAAATTTTGCATGTCCTTCAGAGTAGCCATACTTTAATAAATTTAATACAAAAAATATAAATAAATACAAAAATAACTTTCTCTAAAAATGTAACATTATCATACAAATCAAATGTAACGATCTTAGAATAAGCAAAATATTTCATTGATACAAAGTAGTCTTAAACAGACATAAATCTTTAATGAAGTAATGAATTAACTTAAAGGAAAGATGATATAAACAGATTTTACTTCGGAAGAGACGGAAAATCATGTCACAAGTTTAGGAAAGTGGAAAAATGAAATAGAAAATATCAATAATATTTCAATTAAATTACAGACACTGTAAAACGAGAATATTTGGCGCACTACTAATTTTAGCGCTTATGGCGCAAGAGCGCCTGAAGGTAAAATTTATTGTGATTTCTAAATATTTTGTGTGTGTGTTCAAAGTATATGTAAGTATATGTAAACCGGAACTTGCGATTACATAATGTGGAAGGGTCGTTGGATTTTACGTACACACTAGCACTGCACATGGTAGAATCGATCGAGAAAGTTCTGCCAAATTATAATTTAATTAAACTATTGTTACCCTGGTAGTTCTTACCTGATTCTTTATCATTGGCACCTTTAAAGTCTGGCTTCTCGGCGTCTTAATTATCTATCGCCTCGAAGTAAACAGTGCAATTAAGCATGGCGATTGACCTTGCAGGAAATACCTGATTGTCATCTCCCTTTATGAATACCGTTTATCCAAGTAACTTTCTTTCCATGCATGCATTGTTTTAATATGAATAAAATGCGTAAAAACTACATTTTTTTAAGATAAAAATTAAGTAAATTTTAACACTGTGTAACGTCCGTGTTATTGCAACACCATAGTAAAGGTGACGAATGTTTACTTATATATATGGGAGTGCTATTGTGTTACCGTGCTTGACTAATTAGAAAGTCAATTACGGATGTTGATAAAAAAAACGCAAAATAATGCATTTGTATATTTTTATGACAAGTGCAAGCGCTAAAATTTATTTGCGCCAATGCATCCCAATTTGCATTTGTGCTGAAATACGTATGCGCCAAATGTTCTCGTTTTACAGTATGGACAAAACGCATTCAGTAAAGGTTCACAGGTGAAAATAAATTAGAGAATATTACCTTGGTGCTAAAAGACCAAGCCAGGTAAATTTTATGAGGAAAAACAAAATGACAAAATATCAGCAATGTCACATAGGCTGACTTTAAAATTTTGCTTTTCTTACAAAATTAACCTGGATTAGTATATTTTTCGAAAGTTCATATTTTAAACTTTTACATATAGCACCAAGGTAACATATTCTGAAATTTATTTTCACCTATTAACCTTTACTGAGTGTGATTTGTCTATATTTGTTTTTATTGAAATATTATCAATATTTTCGAAGTCTATTTCTTTTTCCAGATCTTAGGAGAAAAAATTATCAACTTTTCTAAATTTGTGACATGGTTTTAAGTCTCCCCCAAAGAAAAAATTGTTTGTATCGTCAGTCCTTAATATTTGAAGTACTTGGTATTTTAGCGAACCGTACCTTTTCGTTCCGTTAAGGAATTGCGTTGTGTTTCCCAAAGTTTGCGAAATGCCATGCAATGGTTCAAACATATAGAAGTCCCCTTCTGCCTGACGAACTACGTCAGCTAAAAGAGTTGATCCCCCTCTCATATAGGCAACGATCAGTCGTAAAGATGTTTTTTCAGAGACTCTATAAAAATCTGAATAAAGATGACAAATAAAAACGTTCCTTTACTCGGGAATTCTTCTTTTTTTTTTTTTTTTTTTTTTGTTACCGTGAGTTTGTAAAGATCAAGAAATAGCTGAAAATACAAACCTGGTGCATGAAAATGGATACGGTTTTTATTCGATAAACATTGTAAGCTGTCCACCTGCATATTGTCAAAGATAGAGAATACTCCCTTTTCTAAAAGAAAAGGTAAAATTGTATTGACAAAATTTAATGATATGCTAAATGATGTAAAGCTATTTAAAAAAGACATTTTGTTGGATAACACGCCCCTAGATATGAATGAGTCTATTTACAACTAATCATCTACATGTATTTATAACACAGAACCTTTTTTCTGTATTTTAAATAAAAGTTTTCAAACAGACCCCTCCTTAATAGTTTTGACGGTATATACTTCACATTAGGATACTTTTGATCTGTTGCATGTATATGAAAGTTTCCTATATGTTTCCCATCAAAGATCTTTGATAACATCTTATAATCCCTTCTGGGTGGTTTGAAGGATATTTTGAATTTTAGATCGATTATTGTGCCCCCTTCTCCTGAAACTAAAACCGTGTGACCTTTCGTTTCAAAATCTAGATAAATCTTTTTCTTTCGAATTTTGGCATTGTGTTTAATGTCACAATTCTGAATTTGAAACTTCAGGATTTCATTCTTTTGCCCTATATTTCATAGTAATACGACTTTAGATATATCCTTTATAGTATTGATTTTACAAAAAAATGACCCAATTTTGCCGTTTTAGTTCCAAAAAAGTTTCTATCTGGATTTAGTCATTTATGGAAGGTTCATACTTTTACGGATCTGGTTTTAATTTTACACACCAATACCAAATTTTGATTATCACTTGTCTATAGAAATGAAATCTTTTTTGATGATTGATAATAATATAGCAAGTATATATTTGTTTTTTATAGTGTCATCGTACATACAAAACATTTGATATACATTTCTTATGGGAATTGACACTTTGTACCCTGTTCATAGAATCTATATGTCATTAAGTTCAAACAAAGACACGTACTTCCTAATTGCCTTTATGGACATAAAGCTTTCTTAATATTTTTTTAACGTAGAACCTACGTCGTATGACATCCTTACTAGTGAATGGGTTAAGCCTGTGCTAGATCCATTATGACGTCATGATTCAATGTCACTTTCCCGTACATTACAGTTTCAGTAGAAATAGTAGAGAATACTGCATTTTGAAATTCACAGAATTCAATTAAAAATCATGCCAAAATAATCTTTATTCAATTTATATATTTTTTGGTTATAATGGTTAATGATTATATATTTCTGGAATTAGAGAAACCTGTAGGCACCTTTCATTTACTAGATGTTGACTTTAATTTTGACAATATCTTGTGTAATGAAATTACAATATATACAACTTTCTGTAATAATATTAATGTGAATGGTACATGTATGTAATCATTTAGAAGGAGGGCAAAAATCGAAAGGAATCTTCAGTTGCCAACTAAATAGTGTAATATATTGATGAAATGTGCCTAAGTCAAAGATGTACGTGTTATAGATCATGCGATCGTGTGTACATTTTTGTGATATCTATCATGAATTGATGTGCTCTTCATAATTATTTTGTTACTTATTCATATTCTTGGTGTTTGATTACAATTTTTCTATTAAATATGATCTTTTTAAATAAAAAGTACAATTTTTGATAAACATTTTTAATCTGAAAGTAACCCCAAACCGATATTTAATAATTAAATCCCGTGTAAGTGCAAAAAGGTCAAGAATTTTAGCATCGGTAAATGACCTATATCTCATTAGTTAGAGCCGAAAGGTATGTATTTTAATCACTTTTTGTAATCATTAGGGTATGTTCTTCATCATATTAAAGATTTAAAACATTCTGACAAAGACTTCTGAAAAATATTTACAAATGTAGGGTGGAAAATTGACAAAAAACAAGTTCATTTGCCTATTATTTTTAAACGTGGACTTTTCTTTTATGTCTGTTGAATAAAAAAGAAATTATTTTTGAGAAATATTGCAGAATATTGTTCAATTAATAAAGTCAATAAACGACGATGTTTGAAAAGGTATTTTTGTAATTTTTCATATTCTCTTATTGACAAGTATCCCTAAAAATAACTGAAAATGTGTAGTCGCAGTATGTAATTACCACACCAAGTTTCACAGGTGTACTAGATTTAAAAACAAGGAAACATATCATGAGCTTTTAACTAACTAATAAGCAAGTACTAATTTATCATTTTGAAAGTTTGAAAATCTTGCGACAAAGAATTTTCTAAAATAGGTTCTACCTTAAACAAATCAAATAGAGATATATTTTTATTGATTTTAAGCATATATCACCTTTTTAATTTTACTTTTTTATATTTTCAAAGCATGATTGAAGAACTTGATATTCCGAAATAGGGGGTATACGTGTCCAAAAGTCTGTTTTGTGAAATTTTTATGGTCAACAATGATAAAATATGTGTTTTTGTTAGCCTTAGATATGATTCTTATATTTTTTTTAAATGCATTTGAATAATTTAGATTTTGAGAATTTTTAATGATTAAGATTTTTTGAGATTTTGATTTTTTTTTTTTTTGATTTTTTTCTGATAGACTTGGACAGGTTCAACATCAATTTTTTAATGTTTTCCGGTAAAAATTCCAAATATTCTCCTGAGAAATTCGTTATTTTTGATTTTCACAAATTTAAACATTAATTTGATGTGATTTGGTACAAAACGTTCAATTTTGGCTGTTCAATTTAAAGAGGTGCGTACTCTGAGACATGTTGTATGAAAACTGTGTCTTTTGCGGGTGTTTTACATAGCTTATGAGTTAATTAAGATATTTAAATAAAAAAGATTATTAGTTTGACAGAAATTTTTGAAAGTACGGACCTACCTTAAAGATTAAAAAAAAGATGGAAGTTCCAAAAATCTGAGGAAACAAGAAAACAAACGATAATAAATACCGGTACCTATAACTCTTTCGTACATGTGGTGAAGAAAAATAAATCCAAAGAAAACGAAAACCACTGCCATACATTCAGGAAAACGTCGCATTTTTTTTTTAGAAATCCTTCTTCTTCCAGAACCCTGGATCAATCTTCTTTTTCTTTGCTAATGTATATAATACTTTCCCCGTTCACTACCATCAGCTTTGAGCAGATAAATAAAAACATTCTTTTTTGCACGTCTCAAACATGGTAATAATACCCCAATGAACAATATCGATTGAAACCTTTATGCTTTGATTTAAAAAACCCACTGATTGTGTTAGTTTGAAGAAGAATCTGTCGTGCGATGAATGTGGTGACCTTGAATTTGACGCCAGCTAATATATAACCTTTACACACCCTCTTTAGGCATTTTATATTTTGTTATCCAAATGTAAATTAAAAAGGTGCGCTAAAAGGGCGGAAGAGAATTGGAGTATGTTTCTATAACAAACGGTTTCGATTTAGAAACGGTGTGAAGTGCGGATTAGTGTTGTAAACATTATTTTTAGAAAACCAAATGTTTCTCTTGATATTAATATTTATTTATGATTTATCTATTTTTAAAATTTTCTCTTTTTTTTTTGTTTTCATTGAGTAATTGATTTGTTTTGCTCTTAATTTTTTTAGTACTCTAAAAACAATATTTCCATTAGGCAATTCTTAAGGAGGAACAGGACCTTTCGCTGAAAAAATTCCTGTCAATGAATTTTTTTTCGTATTTTTTATGTTACTAATTTAATATGTACTTAACATTTCAAAACGGTCCTGTCATGGGATTTCTTGACTTATTTAAAAGATATCGCACCACAAATATCGCCCTGTTTAGAGTTTGTATGGAGTTTAGATACTTCATGTTTACGGGCCCACAACGGAGTCCATAATGCGAATTTTTACGCACAAACGATAAATATGATAGATAACACTACATACTCAAATATTGCAGAATATTCATAGTGTTTAAATTATCTGAGAGCAATTGTTTTAATTCTATATAGTATTTGGGTGGGATAATTTCTGCATTTTTCAAGGCAGCTTCAACCTCTTTTGGAAAAAATTCTGTCTATAAATATTTCTAAATTTACGATTGAATGCCAGTCCTTTAATGTAATTATTTACTGCATAAATATCACAGGGTGAAGCTTACCTCAATACCGCACTGGACATCGTTGAATTAGACGTAAACATGATAAAAACGCTTCACGTTTGTATTTTCCGAGTGCGGGAAATCAATTGTGACGTCACACGAAAACATGAACATTCAAAATTATCTAAATAGAGAGAATCTCTGCTACTAAACACGAAAAAATATCAATCTTAAAAAATCTGCTTTAGAAATTTATCAGAATACATTGACAGTGACTTGTTTATTATGAAATAAATTGATCATGACGGGTATGTGTACTTGATCTAGCTGCACTGAGAATTCAAACACTACGTCTATGATGTCACTGACGTCAGACTGCAGGGTAAAGAGAAACAAATGTGTGGATTGGGCAACTTCACAATATCTAAATGATGGCAAGATCTTTTTAAAAATTTTAATAATAATAATTTCTAAAATTAAATGTTTAAAAAACAATTTTAGAATTTAGAATGAATTACACAGGAACTGTTGATTTTAACAACGTTTAACATGTATATCATCACCGATTATGACGTAATATGTCTTTTTAGTCATGTGACATGTGCCCTCTCTCCCCTTAAGAATTGATAAGTGATTGTTTTTATTAAATAATTTCTTGTAAAGTTGTAAAGAAAACTGATAGAACATTTAAAGTCCTTAATCGTACATGTCTATATCTTTACGAATTTACTTATTGATATATTTATTAGTATTTTATTTACTAAAATGGCATGACAGAACACAGAATGTCAGTAAAATAGTATGTCAAAACACAAAATGGTACGTTTGCGAGAAGCGCTGACTTTTACGGTTGAAAGCTTACTTGTACACTAGGACAATGTACGGGGGATCTTTTATGATATAAATATTTAGATCAACAATTAATTCAGCAAAAATATTGGGTTATTTCAATGCACATATAAGCTGTCCTCGATGAAAAATGCAACAAACATACCTTCAACTCCTGCCTTCACATTTTAGTACCCCTAACACAATACCTATGACCACTGGAAATGTTTTCCTATCTATTATCAATCCTGTACCTCCTTGCATGATACAGGTTTAAATGTCAAAATAAACTGTCAACAGCAAAAGTCAGTGCTTCTAGCAAAAGTAAGTTAAGAAGGATTGACAAGTAACAGTACAATGATACTAATATACTAGTACTAGTAAATTGACAAGACAAAGAGTAATGTTTCCGAGATTATGTGACCTTGGACTATGAAATATCATATAAAACCAAATAAATCATTTTTATTCGAAGTGTTTAAAGACAACAAAATGTTATTTATTCATTTACAGAAGAAAAACGGAGAGGGGAGTACACCCCTCTACTAGATTTAAAAACAACAGAGGGAAAAGGTTAACTAAACAAGTCCAATAGGCATAGAAAGGTAATAGGTGTCATGACAGTGTACTGTCAAGACAATGAGTTGCTTTACAACTATTTATCTATATCTATTTACAACACTTAACAATATCCTGGTCATTTTTCTGCCCTCCTAATTAATAATTTGACAGTATATATTTCACAGTATTATACTGATCTGCTAAATAAGTGTATTCCATTTTAATCCCATTTTAATCCAATTAAGAATATAATATCAAAATTATGAGCCCCATTTCTTTCAAATATGAGGTAGATCGTTTTCTTTGAAAATTTTGGCATGGGGTACAACGTGACAATTCCGACTTATAATCTTCAGGACTACTTTACTGCCTATATTTCAAAGAGATGAGATTTTTAGAAACCAAATCAACCAATTTTGCCGACTTTAGCTGCCAAAAATAAAAATATGTCCTGATTTAGTCATTTTAATTATTTATAAATGTACAATGTAATACACTATCATAAATGTACTTAATTCCCACTGATTGCACTAAATTTTTACTACGTCAGTACATGTACGTTAATACGTCGTACAGTAATGACGTAATTTTGTAAGAATGATTTCACAAAAAATCACTCGTATTTATATTTATGTTGCAGATTTTCAAGTGAAATCTCTTGAAAAACCTTCCACTTCCAAATGATTTTACATGCAATATAACGTATAAGGTTTTTGTCGTGTCTTTCAGAACACGCAAAAAAAAGTAGAATCTTCTTCATGCATGGTCTTTAAAATGCCACATTTACCTTAGAAGTCAAATTGCCGGTAAAATAGTTTGCAAGTGGAAAGTTTATCAACGGATATCACTTGAATAACGCAACAACATGGTTCCATAGTAAAACAAACGATTGAGATGTTGAGGTAGTCCTCTTGTACAATTACCTTTAGGCCTCTTTCTTCTACTATGTGGCACGTCTGAAGTAAATTTTATTGGAAAAATGCATATACATGTAAATATCATGAACCCTATTTTGTGCAATTTGACAACGGAGATACAGATATCATTTAATTTATGACAGTAAAAAGTTTTATGCTGACGAATTGCAAGTTGTGTTTCATATTTGTGTTATGTTCAACATATATATTTGTTCTTATAGTAATTTAGGTGTAATTGTAAGCCCTTACAAGGGCCTCTGCAATTTTTCCCCTCTGGGAGTCATTGCTACACTCTGATTGATTGAGAAGTAGCGTCATTTTATACTATTTTAGAAGAAAGTAAACATATTTTCAGAGGAGGCCGAGAGATGTTTTTAAAAACACTACAACCTCTAACATTTTTTACATGTATGACAAAGAACTTTGAGCTATGAACCTTTGGACCTCACATTTTGCCACTTAGCGGGCTGTTCAATAAATAATGTCCCCGGTGCTCAAAAAGAAACAAAACCGCTTTTCAATGAATGTCTTAATTATTTCACTTAAACATTCTCTTTTAGTTATGTTACGACTTACGGCTGTCTATGTTTAGCGGCGTAACATTGTGGGGCTTCTTGATATAAATGTTGAACGAAAGACAACAGGATATAAATTGTTTTTAATGTTTTATTAGATTTTATTCAAATAAATGAATGTACACAAAAACTCTTCTTTGGCTCTGCGGCGGTCTTCACCTGAAATAAAAACCAACCAACGACCCTTTCAAACAAATGTTACTTTAAAAACCACCCTTAAACAAACCCTTTAGTAAACACGAATAGACCTAATGTCTTTAGGTCTTGAATCAAGATTGAACTAGTAATTTCTTCACTTGGTGTTTTACATTACGTATCCCTCAAAACGTGGAGGAAATTCGGTACGAGGTGAAGAATTTCTCCTAGCTCATAATAAATTCAAATATCATTAATCAATAATAACAAGTAAATACCAGTAAATATCAATATATATCATTCATTCAATCATTCATCGAAACATAATTTTAACGACTCTTATCACAAGAAACATCTTGTTTGCTTATTCATAACAATAGTGGAGAATGCTGAATTCGTAACAGTTAAAATACACGTCCGTAACATTTTTATACAATGACTAATTTTTTTCCGAAGTCAATTTTGAGTATGACCCTCCGTATACTGGAATATGACAGATCCTATGATTTCTTGGACTTGTTTCTTCTGGGTTTTTTTTCAAGTTTGGAAAATGAAACATGCCAAAGGTTGAAAGATCTGGCGAATATTGTTGGTGTGACAAAACATTAACTGTCTGTTTATCCCTAAAACTCATTTACTCTTCAGGGCGTGTGGGTTTGAACGCTGTCATGAAGACATTCAATGTAGTGGATTCCTTAGAAACCTTTCGATTTTTTAGCAAAATTTTTGCTCTCTAGACTCCTCCAGAAATTGAACTGCCTCCCTGAATACGGATTTTGAACAAAACCACTAATATTTAAGAAATTGGCATACAAATATGTCTTTGTGCTCATGCAATTCTTTACTCTTCTCAGGCCTTTGCTGTTTTTGTCAAGTACATCTTATTGTAAATTTTGTTTTGAGGGATTTAAGCAATATATTCAAGTTTCATTACCTGTTTGAATTTCAAACAAACGTGATAACTACAATTTCTGATTTTTTACAATAATTGTTTAGATATTCTTACACATTGCTGTTTTCACCCTTTTTATCAAAAGATATGGTGACCTTTGAGTACTTGTTTTGTTTTACTGTCAAACTTTTCTTTAAAACTGTGTAAAATACCCCTAAAATGATGTCTATCAAATTTGCTATGTGTCTTAAAGTCAAACATCATCAGTGATTGAATTGTGACAAAGAGTACATTGGTTCTTATCATTCCTTGTGATAATTTTATTGCGTGCACGTTTATTAAGTTTTTTCGTTTGTCGTGTTTTTATGTACGTTTGTTCTGCAAAGATGATCGTTGGTTTTGCATTCATATATGTTTGTTACGTACGTGGTCATTGGTTTTGATTTAATGTATATTTGTTCTGCGAAAAGATCTGTTAATTATGCATTGCATATCATTTATTTAGTTTTTATGGTCATTGAAATTAAAATAATTGTTTGTTTTCTCATTATGGTAATTTTTGCCCTTTCCGCTGCCCATACTGATTCTTTACCTTTCATTTTTAATGTAGTGTCTCGAATAGCCCTTGTTTTCCAGCTTCTCAGAATGAAACTATGTGAAGTTGTCACATCAACTGTTATAAATTCATTAAAGATTCAATAATGAGAGAAAGTCAAGCTTAATGTCACATGATGTCTATATTGTATGTCATAGTATTCAGGACATTATTTATTGAACAGTCCTCGTACATTGATTTTTCTAGTCATGCCTCTTTGCATACAAGTATTTTGGAATATTGTAATTTTGATGTATTATTACACTTATTGTGTTTGCAACAGGTTATAGTTACAAAACTTCTAATAAAAATGTTAAACTTTGTAAGTTTAGACTTGCACATTTTGCTAATGCATGTAATTTTTTGCTGGTCTCAACTGGTGTTTACTTGTCACATTTTGGTACATGCATATACTAGCTTGAAATCTATCAAGCCTTAATAAACAACAATTTCAACAGATACATATGTTAAGTTATAGATTTCTATGTTACTGTTCATTTATGTTTTGCAGAGGAGGCATAAGTGAATTTGCATTTCTATTAGATTCAAAGTTTTATGTCTAAAATAGGCTTTTCATATAGAAAATTTAAATGAGAATCCAAGTTCATTGCTCATTTCCTTCATAAAAGATACTAACTTAATGTGAAAATTATAATGAAAGTATTTACAAATCTTGACTTGTTTCCTTAATGGAATACTCGCAGAATGATCTTTTATGTAATCCTAGGAATCCGGCTAGGCTACCGCTGTAGTTCAAACATGACAAAGACATCCTATATTGACCGTAAAATGTCATCTATTAAATGACAAAAAGTATATAACACAAATATAGCTAAGGGGAGATCATCGGGATATTTCTTTGGTGCAAAGAACAATTAAATTGGTATCTCCCCTGTTGCAAACAATCAGTTTGTAAAATATTTTGTCAAATACAAAAAACATAAACAAAAATGTCAAAACAAAAAGCTACCAATATTTTGAAAAAATTGAATACAAAGTACATAAACCATATTATCTTAAGGATGATTTATTCATTTCCTAAACTGAGATGACGATATAAATTTATGGTGCAAAAAACAATAAACACTTCACGAGTCATTCTTGTCAAAATGTTATGATTGTATTTCCCTTATGAAACAAGTATCCAGGAAAACCTTGTTGTGTTCAGGTTATCAAATTCTAGATGTTGATATCCAAATTTTGTATACAAAAATGAACAATAATGATCAATAGTTATTAAGGTGTCTTCTTTGATAACATGTATCCATCTATAAGCGTTTCCTAATGCGTCCCCACGATCTGTGCAATAATGACATATTTTAACCGGTCCATTCATTATTTGCCTTACATAATCCTCCTCCTCTTTCGTATATTCAGCTTTCAAAAACATATATATTTCTGGCACAAGTTTGAGTGGGTTTTGACACAGGTTTTCGTAAATTATACTTTTTATCCTGCTTTTCAGATAAACCTCCATTTGTGTTAAATGTGATGAATCTGAATAGATAGCATCACATACATTTTTAACAGTAAAAGACATGTTTTTAACTTCCGTCACATGTTGCTCAAATTGAGAATTCAAGATTCCTCTTGGATCCCGTATTATATAAATAACTTTCAGATCTGGCAGCCATTTTAAAAGTTTTTCCGCCATTGACATGGACATGCGAACAGTTTTTATTGTCCTGGTCTTTGCAGTTAAGCATTGTGCATTCAAAAAATCAACACAATCTTTAACACTTTCAATCAAACTCATGCTTCTGTTCATGTTATCTTCAAAACATTGATAGTACTCCATGTGTTCCGGTGTATGTATCGCTATAAAAGGATCTGTTAATGCAGTCAGGTCAATTTGGGTAAAGTTACACGTAAACCAGTGATAAATCATCTCTGGATAAACAAATTCGAGTATCTCTCTTTTAATCGCTCTGTAATAGAAAAAAGCAACCATTACTGTAAATCAATATCAATTTGAACAGTTACTATAATTGCTTTCTTAATCTTTAGATTGTTATGAATATTAAATATGTAAACTGAAAAACAGAGACAAGTCTTTTCTTTGTTTTGAAGAACAGCATATTGTAAATCTCTCTATGATTACCAAACAACAAAACGATAAAAAGTTTTCGGTAATAATGCTTAGATTCACTTTTTTACAATTAATCTTTCAATGCATAAAGACATAAACAGGTAAAGAAACATTAAGATATCGATAAAAGAAAAAAATCTTTTAATGCATAACATGACAAAGTACCGCTCTGTGCCATTTAGAAACATTGTTGTATTTTCCCATCGCACTGCCTGTGATAATGCATGTAATGGTTCAAACATGTAAAAGTCGCCCTCCGTGTGGCGGACCAGGTCAGCTGTCAGGGTAGACCCCCCTCTCATGTACCCCAAAACCAGCCTCAGCTGTGGCGGGAAACTTGCATTATACATTTCTGTGGAAAATTGTCAAATTTTACATATTGTGAGTTGCGGCAAGTGCATTATACACATATATACATGCATAGCGTGTTATCAAATTTCAAAGAGATTAAACATATGGAGATAACATTTACAGTATTCAAGATAAAAAGTCCATGAAACAATACAAAATAAGTGTAGATCAAACACGGAATTCCAAAACGTCAGAGGTGGGATTAGATGCAATTGAGGAGTAAGCACTCATTGCTGACCGGTCACACCCGCAGTGTGCTCTTTGTCAGGATTGGGAAATAACGGAAATAACTGAAAAATCAGCCACAGATCTCAGACAGACTTATTAGATTTTTCTTTTTTTAAAAAAAAAAAAACGTACCTGAGTTGTTGAACGTTTGTAACCTGTTTAACCTCTTTCTTGGTAATCCACTGTCCACTTGCAAATTCAGCACTGTAGATTGCAATTCTCTCTCTAAGGATGAAAAAAGAAGTCAATAATTTAACACAATTCTGCAGGTCGAAAACTTGAGTCAATGATCCATTGCAGTCTATTCTGCAAGAAAGACAAAATGAATACTTTACGTCCATTTGTATTTCTTTCATGCAGAAGATAACTTATTCAGTTTCTGTACACAAAATTATTCTTTTAAAATTTGTCCTTTAAAAAAGTTTAACAAGTAAAAATGAAATTTACCTTTGAGAAAGTTATTTAAAAATACTTTAATGAATTTATTGCATTATTGTTCTATTAACAACATGGTCTGAATTTCAAACTTGACAACGTTTACTCCTTGATCAAAAATGATTATATTAGCGAATCATTGCGTGGCACCTGAAACCAGCTCTGATGCTTTAGATGTCCTTGTTTATTCTGTTCTCGATTTGATTTGTTTCAGGGGACTTTTGATCTTGAAAACTGTTTGTTATCTTTATACAGCATATGTCATTTCCAAAATGTCATTCGATGTCATAAATAGCATTCAAATCAGCCTAACCATTATGCATAATCGAAAAACAGTCATGTCAAGAATGCTTTCCCAAAAACTTTCAAAATTATCCTTATACAACATAAATAAATCATGATTCTTCTAAAAATGTTTCTAATAGGCAGAATACATACAAAATCATTATCATAAGAACTAAAAAAAAAATACCTCGGATAATTTGACACAAGAAAAAATAAAGCAATAAACATCCAACCAGTAAAAGATTATATACAAAGCATTTAAAGTAACGTGACATTCTGCCCAACAATGTCAAGGTGCTAATGGTAACAAAACTACTGTTTCAAGAAAATAAAGCAAGGACAGCAAAGCTTCTTATTTGAACAGTCAATTTACAACACCGATTTACAGTTTTTATGACATTATTGCTCGCAGTAAAATGAAAAGAGGTAATCTTGCAAATCAATTCATGCTTCATACAAGAAACAAACAAGAGTTATTTGATGACATGGACATGAATGAAAAATCTGATCGACTCTTTGTGTCATACTAATTTTGTTTGCAGTTTGACCAGCATTTGTCAAAGAGTCAATTGTTTTCCATGCTATGCTTCCTTCTCAAGCCTTTGCAAGAAATGACAAATACAGACTTTCTGCATTTTCATGTAAACCTAATGACCTAGAGGCTTAAATTTTTTTCTTTAATTAAAGCACCGTTCTTTGTGTTAACGGTAAACAATTGTTAAATAAACTCGCACTGTTTTATATTTACATTTTGTGACGGCAGTAACATTATATAAAGATAGATATAACACTTCAAGTTTTTTCTGGAACAATCAAATACATGTAATCTTATATATTTCTCAATTTTTTTTTTTTTTTGTTTAAATAATTATTAGACTGTAATGCACCAAAAACTTCTTATCTACAATCATGCTATATGCATCAGCAATTTAAATTTATTCTATATCACTCTTTTAAAAAATAAATTATAGGTATATACGAGCGTATATTCTTAGGCGTCAACGTCTTAAAAATAATCAAAAACAATGAGTGCAAAGTAATAAAGTAATGACAATAAATACCTAAGAGTCTTTCATACATGTTGTAAAGAGAAATAAATCCATACAACAGGAAAATCAGTGCCACAAATCTTGAAACACGGCGCATTTTGATTTTAAAATGTATTCCCTCAAAAAATGAGACTTTTACTGCTTCTTTATATTTGACAAACGTATTGAAAACCCAATCATTCACTACCATGATTCTGAGGTGATGAAATGAAAAAGTTCTTTGATTGCCTGTCTATTGAATAAAATCTAATATTCTGGAGCAAACTTTTTTATCGATACTGCCTTTATGTTAAATTCAGTTCGTAGCTATAGGATTGCAAAGAGCAAAGGTGGTGTACGTCCTAACAAGTGCATTTATGCATTGAATTTGTCGAATCGGCTCTTTTCAAAGGACAGTGGAGCAAATGACGTCAAAAACTGAATTAATTAACAAGAACTGCTTTCAATACCCTCAGACAAATCTGAAATTCTAAAGCACTCACTAAAATATTAAACAGATCCTTTATATACTTCTGAGGTCTGTAAGGTAACTAAAACAATAAACTATAGTCTTATCAATCGATAAATGTCTACACCAAATTCTTAACATCAGACGGTGTGACACCATATCAGAAAACTGCAGCAGCCTATGGGAGAAAACCAACCAAAACGCCATAAATATTGACATAAAGAAAAGAAAACGGGACTGGATAGGCCACACTTTATGCAAGTTTTCAAACAACATCTCAAAACAGGCTCTGGGCTGAAATCCTCAAAGAAAAGGGTGGAAAGAATAGGGTTGTGAGACCCAGGCAAACCCCGAGAAGGTTCGTCGAAATGGGGGCAAAAGAGACGAGTTTTCCATGGACCCAGTTAAACCGAAAACAGACTTCGATAGCGCAGCGTGTGTTATATATAAACATGTACATGTAAGATGACAAATGACATGACAATACATCGTATGTCGCAAGGATGATAAGACAAATCGCAGCATTACAATGAGATAAAGCGACAAACACGTACCTGTCAATAAGATCTAAAAAGAAGGTACAGTTTCAATACAAATAAAGCCCGATATTTTTCTAAAATATAAAAGTGATATAAGAAATCAAAATTCATTTTTTCTTAATTATAGGAATTCCCTGCAGTAAGAATATACAAGTCGTTTTTCTCATATGACCTCCTATATGCTAATTGTGACATCATTAACTTGTGCATTTTCCCGTATTTTCTTAAAAAGTTGCAGAAGACATCAATTTTCAGTGGAATTTTCTTCAAGAAAACATAAAGCGATAGCAGTTTACATAACATATCTAAAAATTAAAGTGGGCGACCTATTTTCTAAAGGAAAATTCAAGAAATAAGATTTTCTAATTACAAATTAATGACATACTTCCAGAAAGGTTCTCCTTTATGTCATATTTTTTCATGATTTATCATATTCATCTAATCAACTATTGTTAAAGCCAATTTCATAACCTTTTGAGAACATTAAATTTTTAGGGCATAATAAAGCTCAAACTGTACCTTCATAGTATAGTCACTTTTAAACAGGCAAGATGATATGCAAACCTAAATTTTATTTAAAAGTTGTAAACTTAATATCGATGCCATGAATTTACATGTACCTAATCAAGATAACATACGTAATTAAGGTAGGATTCTTTTCATATTTCTTGTATTAAAAAATCAATGAAATTTTCACAGAATCAAGAAGACAACATCACTAAGTGATGGTATCAATGAAATGAAATTTGACCATTTTGTATTAGAGACAAGGTCATGTCAATGTCATTACCATTTTCCTGCATGTTAATGATAAAAAATAACCATTGCCAGTTATGCGATCCCTACTTGTATTTTAAAAGATTGAATATTTTACTTTTTGCATAAAAAGATACTACCATAAAGGGCCTATAAGATGATATTACCAAATTGATATAGATGATTGAACTAAAATGGATATTGGCTAATCCGAATTTTCCCTACTCTTCTTAAATTTTAATGATATATTAGTTATTTTCATATGCTTCTTATATCTAAATTTTTCTCATTTTCACATATGGTAAAGTTGTCATATAAAGATGCAAAATGATACAAAAACAAAAAGTTTTGATCGTTTAATAAGAGAGAAAAAATACTTTTTATGGATCTTTTGGCTCTAATCTGTACTCAGATTGGAAGATTATAAAAGCTACCACAGTTCTAGTTTGTTTGAAAAATCATACTTAGTTGATATATTTAGGAACTGCAGTCCCTTATTACTAATTTAACTTACATTTGAAAAGTTCTTGAAGTCTTTAATTGTGTAAAAAAAATATTACTAAATTCTTGTTCTAAAATATTTTTGAGAGGCAGAAAAGAAGATATTTTCAAACGCCACCATTCCGCAAAAAATATAGTCCCCGCTAGTTTTCAAACGAGGCTAACCATTTCTATTTAAAGTTATACAATTGTGATGAGGAAAGAAAAATATCGTCTTTTAAATCTCTTACACCTAGATACAGTGTATATAAGACATAGAAGCAAATGTAATTTGAATATTTCACTTAGTCAGAAACTAGAGAATACCTTTACTCAGATGACTAAAAATTCCACTTATAAGAACGAAAACCCACCTATTGCACAAGTATGATTCTTGTGTCAAATTTCAATTTCCAATAACTAGGTCAATGACCTACTTTACATGCTAGTGAACCCTGAGTATTTTTCGGAAAATACCTCAATTTTTCACACTATGACCATTTTTTTTTCTTTACTCACAAAATATTACATGCAACACACCTCTTTAAATAATCAAATATCAGAGCAATGGAACAGTATTGCTTCGTATTAAGAAACGATTCGAGTTTGGGTCATAAACTTGATAATTATTACAGTCCGCATTTTCTCTGTCGTATTTATATTTCTTTCCCCAGTTTCAATCGAACATTAATAAAATCTGAATGATAAGAACTCTAAATTATTTATACCCTAATTCTCATATAATATCATATGGGGTCAATGATCAAATTATTGAGATATATTTTTCTGGAATAGTTTTTGTTAATATTTTTGATCGAATTTCTTTATTTTATAGCATTCAATTATTTGAAATAATTTATGAGCTTTAACACATGTAATATTTGAAAGAAAAAAAATGTTGTTTAAAAATGCATGTAACATTGTAATAAATATTGCAAGAAATAATAGATTTTGACAAAAATGAAAAATAAAAAATCTAGTTCGAATTTCTTCTGCATTACCATACAGTGGTTTTTGTTCCTGTGTATTTTCTTCGAATAATAAAATATTCAATTTTTAAATTGATATTGCGTTAAAACTTTTTATCTAACATATTATACTTTATAAAACGTCCTTTCTGTTTTCTGAAACCTTATTAGTAAACGTCATCCTTAATTTACTTCCAATCAGTAGAATATTCTAACACTGCCTTAGGAGCATACGAGCAAATTTTAAACACGTTTTCCTATTTAAATCTAACTTTTTTATTCGGGTTTTACATGTGAGAATGCATGGTCAATTAGTCTCTTTTGTCATTGATTTGTTTATATGCAGGGTTGATAAACATCTTGCACGTTAGTTTGCAGGTCAGAAAGAATTTGAATTCGCATATTCATTTTTATCTTTGATTTTTTAAATGCAAGGTGATTCTTCCACGTTTAAATGCAGGGTTGATAAACATCTTACACGTTAGAATGCATGTTAGAAAGAAATTAAATTCGATTAATCTTTTTTATCATTGATTTTTTTTTAGATGCAAGGTGATACTTCCACGTTTGAATGAATGGTAGAGAAATGTAATTCAACGATTCTCTTTTATCACTGATTTTTGTAATGCAAGTTGGTGTGACAGTAGTTGTAATCCCGTTATACATTTGAATTTGGATCAGTTGAAATAACTATGATCCAGGGCTTCGATTTGTATGATGAATGATACTAAATTTACAATCATTCAGGTTATATTTTAAACAAGACTAAAGAACAATGACACCTTCTGAATGGTGTCGATAGTTTGTATTGTTTAGCTCATATGAAAACAGTGCATTATATGTGAATTATTAGACACTATGATAGGAAAAGTCGGTCTGTTTTGTGACCATATGTTCCTTTATGGATAAAATGGATAGAATAGGCTGGTCTTAGTACAATAAAGAGATATGCATGTCCGTGGAATCTACCTTAGAAAGCTTTATTATACCCCCCGCTTGAAATACGGGACAGTATATACAGCTATTTGACCAGTTCCAAATAAGAAACGGATTCGGCGGTGCTATAAATATACGAGGCATTATTTCAAAATCTAAGTTTTTTGTCAAGGTAGTTCGATGACTTGTGGAATTAAATATTGACTCATAAAAGTTCAGCCTTCTCCCTCAAAAAATTATTTCGCAAGTCAAAATAATAAAATAGGAATTGCGGATAAGTGATGGATATACCCTTCAATATTAGTAAGGTATACTTTGGTGCTATATAACAAAGATTCTGTGAAAGCCTTATTAAATTCTGTGAAGCCTCATTCAGTGGTAGAAGAGGAGTTGTGGATAAGAAATGGGTACCCCAAAGCCTATCAAACGGAAGGACGTACAGACAGCTAGACGGACATACAGACAGATGGATGGACAAACATCCCATCACTATATGCCCCTCCCCCTGCTTTTCAAGCGGGGGTATAATAAGTCACGTTAGAATGAAGAAAACAACGAAGAATGAATTTATAAAAGTATTTTAAATGAGTATTCGGAACTAGTAAAATGACAACACTAAAATATTCCGATATCTTCCAGTGTTCTAAATATTCATTTTTGATAAGTTTTTAGTATTTAATAGAGTACATATCAAACTTACTTTTGATGCTTAGAATGATGTTTTATGTGAAAAACTGGTGTCTCTACCGAGTTTTTTTCTGCAGACTTACGCGTTGCGGTGATTCAGAAAAGTATGTCGACTCTTTCAAGTACGACAACGAAACCGAACTGGCGGCAAAACTGACGGCAAAACTGACGGCAAAAAATCAAAACTTTGCAAAATTCGAACACTTATAAATAAGCCTTCTTACTATAGGTATCAATTTATTTTTTTTATCTTTGAATTTGTTATTTTTAAATTAATAATTATTAACTGGTCAAAATTCG